GTATAGAAGTATTTATTGTTGAGTGTTCCAGTTATGACAGCGCCTCTTTCATTGCTTTTTACATAAATTATTTTTTTTTAATCATTTTAGGGGACCAGGAAAATGCAGTAGTATTATTAAAGATGACATTTTCAAAAAGATGATAAATGAAAATGGAAGGCAGACAAACCTGTGTTTTCATTGGGCCTTCCATTTCCAATATTGCAATCTCCTCAGATGATTTAATGGCATTCGATGTCAATTTACACCATTCAAGTTATCACCAGGAGAATATAACATGGTGTGCCTTTTAATGAATCTTAAAATCAATGTTATTTGATCATTTAAACCTGCCAAGTCTCCATTTGAGTTTTTCCTAGTATGAAAAAAACCAGACTGCAGTCAGTAAAATAGTGGACATATTTTAGTACTAGGTGCATAGCTTTTCCTTTGATAGAGAATAAGTGTAACTGGCATTTACATATTGTGAATTGCTCTTCTTTGCAAGCATAATCTTCTGTGTAGAGGTTCCCCATCTAGACTGAGCAATTGTGTTTGCCCTATCCCCATGCTTTGATAAGCTAATCCGCGATTATAGATAAGTTATTTAAAGGCTATGGATGTTTTATAAGGGAATGCACTTTCTCTTGCGATACTCTATGTTTCTCAGGGAACCGTTTTTGTTTATGTGCCTTCAAACCAATTCTGTGGGGACTAAGCAATGGGGACTAGGCAGAATGTGCATCCCTGAAACTGGTTGAACTAGAGCAGAGTGGTAAGATTTGCACCTTGCCCATTTCCTTTTTCAACTCCTATGCCCTTGGGCCCCCATCTATTAATTATTAAAATCTTGTCACTTCCCAAATTGAAATTCAACCAGAAAGCTTTCCCCACCCTCAAGACAGACTGATTAAAAAATCACTAGAAGAATAAACTTTTACCAGTAAAAGCACCGGGGCACAGAGCAATTGGCTTTACTACATCTCTTAGAATTCCCCAGCTGCCATAGCTCCTAGTCAAGCTGATGAGGATATTCTATGTGTAGTAGTTCCAAAAGGCAACTGGTCCAGAGGTTGGCCCTTCCTCGATCTCTGCGATGTCTGTTCATGGTCCTTGAATGGATGTTGAGAGTAGTGTGCTACTCTCAACATCTATTTAGCCCAGTTCATCCATCAAAACTACACTGGTCGTTGTTCATTTGTTCAGTTGTTTCCGACTCTTTGTGACCTCATAGACCAGCCCATGCTAGAGCTCCCTGTTGGCCGTCACCACCCCCAGCTTCTTCAAGGTCAATCCAGTCACTTCAAGAATGCCATCCATCCATCTTGCCCTTGGTCAGCCCCTCTTCCTTTTTCCTTCCATTTTCCCCAGCATCATTGTCTTCTCTAAGCTTTCCTGTCTTCTCATTATGTGGCCAAAGTACTTCATCTTTGCCTCTAATATCCTTCCCTCCAATGAGCTGTCAGGCTTTATTTCCTGAAGTATGGACTGGTTGGATCTTCTGGCGGTCCAAGACACTCTCAGAACTTTCCTCCAGCACCACAGTTCAAAAGCATCTATCTTCCTTCGCTCAGTCTTCCTTATGGTCCAGCTCTCACATCTACAATATCTGGGGCAGAGCTAGAACTAGTCGTTCTCGAGGGTTTATTTAAATCACCAGGTCTTCAGGCTCTTACGAAAAGAGGGGAGAGATGGGGACCGTCTTATTTCTCCAGGAAGGGCGTTCCAGAGGCGGGGGGCCATGACCGGGAAGGCCCTCTCTCTCATCCCCACAAATCATGCTGGTGATGGTGGTGAGAGCAAAAGGAGGGCCTCCCCGGAAGATCTTAAAGTTCACGCCGGTTCATAGAGGGAGATGCGAAGATAGGCGGGGCCCGAACCATTTAGGGCTTTATAGGTCATAACCTGCCATCTTGTTGCCTGCCAGTAGCTCTCTCTTAGAGGCTTTTTGACAACACCACTTTTTTGATGATGTCATGCTGGGCACCAAGCCATGGTACCAAAAATGTGATGTTGCCAACAAGTTTCTGAGAGTGAGCTATTATCGGCGACAAGGCAGCAGTGTCAGTCTCAATGCACCCTCAACCTGGATTCCTGTTTGGATGGCCAAAAGGCTCCTGAAGTTACATCAGAGCAGACCTGGAGCCTTTTAAATTGTATTCCCCCCCCCCCCCCCCAGTAAGTGTAGACATAGTCATGGTCTTCTTAGGGGACAGCATTTGAGACCTCTTCTAAAATAGTCAGTTGGCAAATCCAGCTCAAAGTCATATTGTGAGGTCATTGCTGGTCTTCCCATACTTTAATCAAAGCATGGTAAATTATCAGTCCACAGCTTTATTCATGAATTAAAGGAGATTTCATGTAAATGATGATTGTTGTACTTCTGTGCCTTCAAGTCAACTTCAATTTATAGTAACCCTGCCCTTGGGAAGAATTATACTGGCCAACACACATTTTGTTGCCTCAAATGTTAGCCCTTTTTCTGGGTGCATGTGACCTGCTCATTCCAAAAATCGCTCCGGTGTTCCCATTAGTTCAAGATTTTGAGATACAGAGCATATGGCATCTACCAGTTGCATTCTCCTCACCTATAGAGAACCATGATAACCATATCTAAGAAATTAGAGCTGATGCGATCTCTAATTTCTAAATCGGCATCCCAAATTAGTCCAGGAACGGGCCTAAAAATCAAGACACCAAGATATTTGGGTGTGGGCTGTGTTATTTATTCAGGAGAGATTTGCCATTGCCTTTCTCTATGGCTCGGAGAGGTCACCCACTGGGTTTTCTGGACTGAGTAAGGTTTCGAATCCTTGTTTCTTGAAGTCTAAATCCATCACTCAAAACACTATATAACACCATCATTATTAACATCATTTTTATATTTTAACTTGCATATGTAATATACATAGCTCCAACATGGTTACTGGTTTGAGATATGTACTGTGACTCTGGAGAGCAGGGTTCAAATCCGTTCCCTGCTCAGCCATGGAAACCCAAATGGGTGATTTTGAGCAAGTTACATTCTCTCAGGATCAAAGGAAGACAAAAGGCAAACTCTCCTTTGGACAGATGTTGTCAGTAAAACCCCATGATACATTTCCAACAACAGTACAAATATGCAAATGCATATATTTGTATGCAGTTCTGTAGCGTGCATCACTGTGAAATCCTTTGAGCTACTCATATCCAAGCTTATTATGTAGGCTGATCAGACGCGAGGAGGCTTGTTTGTGCAGCAAACTACAGATATACCTCAGTTAACAGATGTTTTCCTGGACATTTCATCTTTAACATAAAATTTGGTACCAGAGACAGAAATCTTCTGGAGACCACTTGTAAACTTATTTTAAAGGCATCTAGGGATGCCCCCCCCCCCCCCCGGTTCTTTTTTACCAATTTCCACATTTCTTATCATTGCCATTCCAGTAGCTAAGCTTACATATCTATGATTGTTAGCATGCTGGAGGTAGCTGGAAGAGGCTTATTTCTCTTCCACTTCCTTTTGTTTTGCTCTTCCTACCAATTGAGTAAGGGATTCTGGAGGCAGCTGCTGTTTACCTTCTCTGCTGTAGGCAAGCGCATACAGCTAAGGCAGGATTGACTAGAATTGAATCCCATTCTTTCCCAATTCATATGTTTTTGCAATTTCACTACGGGCACATGCTGCAATCCAATATTAAAAGTGTGTGATTTTCCATTCCTCTTTCTGTATATTTCCAATGCCAGTGCTGCTAAAAACTTTCAGACTAAATAGAGGACAAGAAGAAAAGGAGGCAGGCTTAAAAATACTTTGTAAAAAGGAACATCATTGTCAGAGGCTTTGCTAAGTGTGGCCCCTTCCACACAGCTGTATAAAATCCACATTGAACTGGATTATATGGCAATGTGGACTTGGATAACCCAGTTCAAAGCAGATATTGTGGATTTTCTGCCTTAATATTCTGGGTTATATGGCTATGTGGAAGGGCCCTGAGATATACCTATACATTCTCTTTCCCACCAATCTAATTTTCACCAGACTTTTGGAAAACAGATCTTCCCAATGCCAGCAAGGGCTGCCAGTTTGAAAGAGCCTCCTGATCTGTTTTTGTTGCTAGCACTTTTGTGTGCCCACCCCCAGTTCTAACTGGCAAGGCAGTATTCATGCTGAAAAGTTTGAAATTTGATAAGTAAGGAAAGACTAGCATCAGTATCTCATCTTGCTCCACAATCTGTCAGGGATTGCATTTAAAAAGGCTCTACCCAACCTGACATTCCTAGAGTCAGCCATGGTTATTATATGAAACTGGGGGAATTTTAGCCCAAGATATTGAGAGTTATTTTACTCAAAATAGTTATACTAAACTATCTGCTATTTTTGTTCTACTGCTTTTTTTAGTGGTTTATGTTTTTAGCTGGTTAAATTCATGGATAGTTTCATTTTTGTGTTTTATAAATTTTAACTATGGAGTGTTTGTATTTTTAATCTGCTGTAAACTGCTTTGAATCCTAAACTGGGGAAAAGACAGGATCAAAAGAAACATAAAAAATTAATTAAGAGGAGGAGGAGGAGGCAATCTTCAACATTTTCACGGGCAGGACACAGAGGCTGATTTCCCCAGTGGACCCCAGTTCTCATGCAGACACATATAAGGAGATGTGTCCCCTTCAGTATTGAGGTCTCAAGCCACTTAGGGCTTGAAATGCCATGGCAATCTGAATTCACAGTGGAATATTGTATTGGCACCAGTTGCCATTCTTTTAAGATCACCTTTATATAATGTCTGTATTGTACTCCAGTCATCAATGTTGCCACTTCATTTTGCACTACCTGCAGCTCCTGAGATAACATGAAGAGCAATTCCACATAGAATGCATTACAGTAACCTAATCACAAGGTTGTGGATGTATGAACTACTCTGGCTGGGTTATCTCTGTTCAGGAAGGCTATAACTGCCACATCATAGTGTATACATTATGGTGAACTATGATACATTGTGCCATGTTACAGCTATTTTTCTACTTTTGCAATCAATTAGGTTCAGAGCATCATTCGCTCCCAGACAAGCATGGGCATGCGCCATAGGGACCGCTCAACCACTGGGAATACTTTGAAGACTGGCTTCAACTCTGCATTGACCACATACTTTTTTGGAGCCGATCTGAAGGGCAAGCTGACAATCTCCCACTTCCTGGAATTCCAGCGCAAACTTCAGCATGACATCCTCAAACTTGAGGTTAGTTATGTGATCCAGAAATACTTTCTGTATGCTTGGAATTGATTTGTGTTGACTGATGTGTGTCTCTCCCTACACATTTTTTAAAAGTAACTTAATGTAGGTGTTCCCATTCAGATTTAACACAGAATATTATTTAGAATGATACTGGGAGAGGCATGAATGTTTGAATGGCAAATGAAAAGAGAAGGATTGAAAATAAAGGTGCATCTACATTGTGGAATTAATGCAGTTTGACACCACTGCATGGCTCAGTGCTGTAGAATCATGGGAGTTGCAGTTTTATAATTTATTTGTCGTGTCAGGGCAACCAGTCAATTATATTACATTTCTAACAGAACAAAGCAAACAAACAGACAAAATACAAAATTTGTGAGTTTGGTAGTTGATTAAATGTCCTTTGACCAGTAGCTGGCCACTTGGAGTGCTTCTGGTGTTGCTGCAAGGAGGTCCTCCATTGTGCATCTGGCAGGGCTCAGGTTGCATTGCAGCAGGTGGTCAGTGGTTTGCTCCTCTCCACACTCGCATGTCGAGGATTCCACTTTGTAGCCCCATTTCTTAAGGTTGGCCCTGCATCTTGTGGTGCCAGAGCACAGTCTGTTCAGCGCCTTCCAAGTCGCCCAGTCCTCTGCATTCCCAGGAGGGAGTCTCTCATTTGGTACCAGCCATTGGTTGAGGTTCTGGGTTTGACCCTGCCACTTTTGGACTCTTGCTTGCTGGGGTGTTCCAGCGAGTGTCTCTGTAGATCTTAGAAAACTATTTCTAGATTTAAGTTGTTGACGTGCTGGTTGATACCCAAACAGGGGATGGGCTGGAGATGTCTCTGCCTTGGTCCTTTCACTATTGGCTGCTACTTCCCGGCGGATTTCAGGTGGTGCAATACTGGCTAAGCAGTGTAATTTCTCCAGTGGTGTAGGGCGCAGACACCCCATGATAATGCGGCATGTCTCATTAAGAGCCACATCCACTGTTTTAGTGTCGTGAGATGTGTTCCACACTGGGCATGCATACTCAGCAGCAGAGTAGCACAGTGCAAGGGCAAATGTCTTCACTGTATCTGGTTGTGATCCCCAGGTTGTGCCAGTCATGATATTGTTTCTAGCACCCAAGACAGTGCTTCTTGTAGATAAGAGCACGGTCCAGAGTGACTCCCAGGTATTTGGGTGCGCTGCAATGCTCCAGTGGGATTCCTTCCCAGGTGATCTTCAAAGCTCGGGATGCTTCTCTGTTCTTGAGATGAAAGGAACATTGTGTTTTAGATGGGTTTGGGATCAGCTGGTTTTCCCTGTAGTAGGCAGTAAGAGCACCTAGAGCTTCGGAAAACTTCTGTTCTACCATCTCAAAGCTCCCTGCTTGAGCAGTAATGGCACGATCATCAGCATAGATGAAACTCTCTGTCCCTTCTGGCAGTGGCTGGTCATTTGTGTAGATGTTGAACATGGATGGAGCAAGCATGCTACCCTTAGGCAGGCCATTCTTCTGTTTCCATCATCTGCTTCTCTGGCCCTGGAACTCAACAAAAAAGCTCCTGTTTTGTAGCAGGTTTCCTATGAGGCGGGTGAGGTGGTAGTCCTTTGTGATATTATACATTTTATAATACCTTTAGGCTTGTCTGCCAAATTGTGCTTGATGGTGACTTAAACAACTACAATAAATGATTCCACAGCAAGTTAAACTGGTATCAAACTACATTAATTCTATAGTGTAGATGGTCTCTTAAATGAGTGACATTGTATCATGATATAGATTTGTATTTGGTGAAATTAATAAGGCCTTTTTAAAAATTTAGTTTGCTTAGAGTCCTTTGGTCTGACCCCAAATGTCAAGGGTCCCTGCAGACAGTTGCCAATCTGCCCCATTGGCTCATAGGTTCAATGAACTTATTTTCCCCCCTGAGTTATTATACTTACAGGGATGCGTCAAGCTGAAAGTAGCTGAGCAGGGCTTTATATTTTTTATATAAATCTATATTAGTTTTGTATGACCTATGGTTTACGTCTAAATCAATATTCACTTAAGATAATTATAAGTCTTACAGGGCCAAAAAGAGCATATGCTAATCAAATTTCAGGCAATATATGATCGTCATAATTCAATGCTATTTTTGTTAATTAAAATGGGCTGTCATGTACAACATAGCTCATAATTGTCTGAGATTAATCTGCTTCTTTTTTGAGAAATGTAATCAAGTATATACTAGCTCAGCTCAGGATGCTGTGTAAAGATGATTATGTTTCCATGAATTGTATTAGTCAAAGTAAAAAAAAATCCATATGTTAGTAGAAGATATTGAATCAAATCTGCTGGATAATTACCCTGCCCTCAGTATGTCTACCCTGTGTTCAGTTTTAACATCTTTAGGAAAACAACATAGAAAATGTTGTGTACTGAAGCCAGGGGAGTCTTAAAACAGGGTCAATCTTGGGAGGGATGTGGATGGGTAAAGGTGTTTTGTAATACCTATAGATTAGCGGTTCCCAACTTGTGGTCCATGGACCACCAGTGATCTGCAAAAACTAAAATATGGTCCACAGCTTAACCGTTACTACACTGTTGCAACGAGAGCTACTGGTTTTGCGATACTCTCTTATAGTGCCGAGGCTTATTAAATACTAGTTGTCCTCTGCCATGCGTTGCTGTGGCCAAGTCTGTTGATCTGGAAAATAAAGTAATGAGAAAGTGTTGGTTTCTAATATATGTGATTTCTTGATGCTTGTGAGTAAACAGTATTTCTTGCTGTTTCTTTGTCAGTGTTGATGTGGAGACTGTCTAGTTTGCCTACTCTGGAACATGCAACATATAATTGTCCTTCTTTAGGGGTCCCTTTGAAATCTATGATACTATATCTGTATGTGTGTGAATTATATATATATATATATATATATATATATATATATATATATGGCTGGATGGCTCTTTGTGAGGAGGACTTTGATTACGTTTTCTTGCCCTGGTGAAGGGAGTTGGATTGGATGGCCTTAAGTATTTTCTGTTGGTCATGGGGGTTCTGTGTGGGAAGTTTGCCCCAATTCTATTGTTAGTTGGGTTCAGAATGCTCTTTGATTGTAGGTGAACTATAAATCCCAGTAACTACAAATCTCAAATGTCAATGTCTATTTACCCAAACTCCATCTGTGTTCATATTTGAGCATATGAAACATTCGTGCCAAGTTTGGTCCAGATCCATCATTGTTTGAGTCCACAATGCTCTCTGGATGTAGGTGAACTACAACTCCCAAACTCAAGGTCAATGCCCACCAAACCCTTGCAGTGTTTTCTGTTGGTCATGGGAGTCCTGTGTGCCACGTTTGGTTCAATTCCATCAGTGGTGGAGTTCAGAATGCTCTTTGATTGTAGGTGAACTATCAATCCCAGCAACTACCACTCCCAAATGACAAAACCATTTTTTGAGTGATGGTCACTTCTTGGGTTAGTAGGTGTCTTGTGGCCAAATTTGTTGTCAATTCGTCCAGTGGTTTTTGAGTTATGTTAATCTCACAAACAACATTACATTTTAATTTATATAGATGGTTTTCTGTCGACGAGCAGATGGTAATTACCGGATGGCATATTCTGTATCAGAAACTTGAGCTGATTGGTCTATCCAATTCAGTTTTCTGAATCAGCACTCCAAATAACCAAAATGAATCTAAAGTTGACCAAAAACTGTTTCATAACCTTTTTGGTGCTAATGTTGGAGAGTGGTCCCTGGTCAAAGTTATCCCTGGTCCAAGTGGTCCCTGGTCAAAACAAGGTTGGAAACCACTCCTATAATAATTATTTCCCCCTTGAAATATGTTTCCCAGGGTTAAAAACTAGTAAGTAAGCCAGTCAGGAAGTTTTATTGGAAAGCAGAATTTGTAGAATGGAAAAGACAGTAAGATTCAGACTTCTACAAATGGAAAGACTCTTTCCATCCAATGAAGGCTAGGATTCCCCCATTTTTCAGTGTGATACCACAGGCTTTCCTATCCTCTTGAACAGATTTTCAGGAGACACAAATGGTACCAGAGGGAAGAAGGAAATGGCAAAACTGGAAGAGTAAAGGAGAAAGAGCAAAGTGACCTAATCACTGCAGTTTAAGTGGCAATACATCTCAAGTGATCTATTAAAAAACATTTATGATTACACTATGTAGTTTTATTTCAAGCTATAAGGGACAGTAGAGAACTCAACTATATAGCTATAGAGACAATAGAGAACTCTGCTAGAGGCCAAGATTCCTACGACTGATCCAGTGTTTGGATGTGAAAGAAATGTTAAAAGGCATATCCACACAACTGTCTTGATAGCTTAATGGTGCAATGGTTGGGGGACTTAAAATTTCTTCCTCCTGGTCTCTGTGATTCATACAAATGGGTTACTCCCCCTGAAATCACAGGTCCGCAGTTTGGGGGTCCCCCTGGACTCAGCGCTGACGCTTGATGCGCAGGTGTCAGCAGTGGCCGGGAGGGCCTTCGCACAATTAAAACTTGTGTGCCAACTGCGACCTTACCTCGTGAAGTCTGACTTGACCATGGTGGTCCATGCCTTAGTTACCTCTAGACTGGACTATTGTAATGCACTCTACATGGGGCTACCCTTGAAGGCATCCCAGAAACTACAACTTGTCCAACATTCGGCAGCCAGATTAATAACTGGGGCAACTTAAAGAGAGCGGTCAACCCCCCTGTTTAAGGAGCTCCACTGGTTGCTGTTTATTTTTCGGTCCCAATTCAGGGTGCAGGTTATCACCCATAAAGCCCTAAACGGTTTGGGACCCGCCTACCTTCGTGACCGTATCTCCCTCCATGAACCAACCCTCCGTTCTTCTGGGGAGGCCCTTCTTTCGCCCCTGCCAGTTTCACAAGCTTGCCTTGTAAGTACAAGGGAAAGAGCTTTTTCCTCTGTGGCCCCCTCACTCTGGAACTCATTACCTGGAGAAATTAGGAAAGCCCCTACCCTAGAAACCTTTAAAAAGAACCTTAAAACCTGGCTCTTCCACTGCGCCTTTGGTGAGT